TTCTTCAGATTGCGTTTTCCATTTCGGTTCTCCGAAGAAAGATGGACCTCAAAGTATGTGGTGACGATAGAAGCATGGTTGGATAAATAAGAATAGTTAATGTTTTTTAAAAAAAAAAAAAAAAAAAAAAAGATAATATGATACTTAAGGTGTGTTTTCGATCGAGTCACGGGTGATTAACTATCCGAATCGGTCGGGGTAATTATGCTGATTGCATGAATCAATTAAGGCGCATGAAAAATATTGAGCCGCAGAATTATGGCCTCGTGGAGATCGATCGTCGATTTGTCGAATATGTCGATCAATTACTAAAATTAGGTTTTCTAGTAATAAAAGTCGTAAAAGAGATAATCAAAGCAATAACAATATAACAAAAATCATCACACCTTGATCTACTTTTGAGTGGCATAAGCGGTACGACCGTTGTTTTCCTGCTCATGTGAATTCGTAAAGCGTACCGAGATTCTGACCGGTTGACTCTCGACGGAATTTCGAAAGACCACCACTGAAGCAAAGACTAACTAGATCAGAATTTGCTGAAGCTGAAGATACGTCGGATGATGGTGGTCGAGGAGAAATTGGAGTCGAATCGAATAACAATAAATCGATCAAACGTTGTCAAAAATTTGCTGATATTGGTGACGCAAAAGGATTGTTCGCTGTTATCGAAGTGGGATCGAAGTCGGACGGAAAGAAGCATCTGAATGGTATGTGAAGCGTGCTGAAAATGATAACGAAACTAGCCGATTTGACCCAGGTGGAATCGTAATTGGAAGTGATGAAGAAAAGGTGTTTAGAATGGAACCTGAAAGCTGATGAATCTGAACGTTGGAAAGGTAGACTTTCCTCGGCGAGAAATATGGAAAAAGCCTATGAAAATCAGAAGAGGGTCATCAAATTTTTGTGGTAATTCAAGGGTAAAATGTGCAAAAACAAAACGAACGAAATCATACTCGAAAGAGTCCTGCGTTTGGCGCCACCCCCAGCGAAGCTGTGCAAGAGTTTATGGAAATGGACGCGAAGTAAAGGAAGAAACCCTCGAACATATACGTCATGAGCAAGATCCGCAACGGATATAAAAAGGAGTGGGACAGAACCATAGTTTTCGATTCTAGTCGCCTAGCCGCTCTATTTATTCCGAGAGAAACTATCGACCCATGTTGATATTCCTGATAAGGATCTCCAACTTAAAGATAAATCTCGTGGAACTCGACTTTAAGTGAGGAGGAATGTGAGCCTGGAAACACGTGGTGGGCACAGTCGAATTAACGGATATGACCATAATTAGGTTTTCCGGTGATAAAACGTAAAAGATGAAAATAAGGGAATAAATGATAAATACGATATCAGTAATATATATACAGTGTATATTATAAGCAATGCTATGATCGATTAGCTTATATACGATAATAGATAAAAAAAGATATATCACGAATAAGACTTTTAACAAGTCGTAATATAGCATAAGTATATAATAAAGGCTTCTCACCCTTGAGGGAGCATATCCTTCGTGATTCACAAAAATTCGTTCCCTAATAAGTAAAATACTTAACCCTGAATCTACTGCTTAAGTGGCATAAGCAGTACGATCGTTGTTTCTTGTTCACGTGACTAACGTAAATCGTACTGAACCTCTGTCCGGTTGTTTCTCGACGTACTGAGAGCCTCCGTGGCTGTTATTTTCCAACTGTCTCAACGAGCTGAGATAGTTGTGGTTGTTTTCCAGTTTCCCCGACGGACTGTGGTTTCTGTTCCGGTTTGAAGTCAAGTGGAAGATATAAGCGTTACTGTGTATCATCAAGGTTTTTACATAAGTTAGAAGAAGATTCACCTACGGCCTAAATCACCCACTCGCCAAATCTAAACGCCTCTTCGTCTAAGCCGATGTTGACCTTTTTTAATTTTTCTAGGAGGAGCCATTTCGGGACAAAAATCTCGGTATGCAAGGTAGCATTTGATGCTGTATAATTCCACTCAAATCGTAGTAGGTTACACGACGTCTCGGATTGATTAGCCGAATTTCCGTTGGCAATGTGTTTTCTAAAAAAAAAAAAAGTAAAAGATAAGAGAAAAAATTATTAGTTGACTTGTTGTTTGTAACGTATGTCGTGGATCCGATGCGGCCAGACCAACAAACTCCATTATGGTTTTGTTCGTTGGCCGCGTATTTTAGCGTTCTGGCCCCACATCAATCTGTTCTTTTTGTCTCATTGTCATCATCTTATTTTTTTCTTTGAAATACCACTTAAAATTAACGCTTACTTAAATTCCTTGGTGACCCAGCTGATCTGTGTATTCAGGGATTTCTTTCCGGCATGTGCAGCACGAAACTTTAAAAGAAATGTTAAAATAATTAGTGCATGTCGTGGATCCACAAATAGTAAATCAGAGAAGCGTATCTTACCAGACCAACAAAACATCATATAGCTGTTTATATTGACAATTTTTAAATTTCCAACGCACATGTTCATCGGTTGCATTTCAACGTTCTGGCCCCACGTTCAATTTTTCTTTGAAATATCATTTAAGACAACACTAGCCTAAATTTCTTTAATCAACAAAAAATAAAAGGATAAAGAAAGTGAACTACTGAGGTGTGGTTTTGTTGTCCAACTCTCCCCACGTACCGTGGACAATTGTGGTTGTTTGTTCCGATTTGAAGT